ACAGCCACAATTCAAAGGCTACTAGAAACGGCAGAGATTAGAGTATTGAGAAGACTTACAGGAAAGATGTAGAGCTGAGGGATCGAAAGAGAAGTAAAGACATTAGAAGAAAATGTAATGTATAATATATAATTGAATGGACACACAATAAAAAAAAGAATTGAATAACCAATCACCAGAATCACCAATCGGCAGAAGAAGTATCGAACGACCGCGCAAAAGATGGAGTGATAACCTTCTATAGAGGTAGTAATCTGCCAATAAACAAGCAGAATTGCTTATAAAGAGAAAGAAGAAGAAGAAGGAATTATAATAATTATTTAGTAAAAGGTGCATGGACATAATTACCTTAGTCTTAATACATATCGGTAATAGGCACTTTATATAATACATAAGGCGAACGATGACGACGGAAAATTTCATCTTATTTGTCTAACCATTCTGGGTTTTTTTGTCAGCCATTACATATACATATTTATTTAAATCACATACTTCTAGTATTTTTTATTACATACTTAAAAAAATTGTGATTTTTTTTTAAATATATCAAGTACGTCCATGACGAATTATTTATTTAATTGTTAAATTATCTGTAAAAATCGAGTGTTTAGGAGTACACCTTTATGTTAATTAATAATTAGTATCATAATACATAATACTTAAATAAGTGTATATTTCTACTTCTCTTGACGCTACAATTCTCTATGGGTTTTGGAACTGATTAACAATATTCTCTCATTGTGCCAACTACTTTGGTTCTCTGTTTTCTAATATTATGAAGTTTAGATCTCCTCAACATCATACATATCCATCTTTTACAACCTTTTTTGTTCATTTTTCTTGTGACTTCTATCTCAATATTTTCACAACGCGATTATTTAATGTTCTTTATAATAATTATATATATATATATATATATTATATATATATATATAATATATATATATTGTATTGTATTGTATTTCTGAAATAACTTTATCATTATTTAACATAGGTAGGGGACGCTTAAGCCTTGTAAGTAGTAATTGTTTTCTACTGTTAGGATTTTGCATCCATCTGATTTTTTGGATTTTCTGTATTCCATATCATTTACGTTTCATTAATGTCAAACCTATTGTTTCAACTATAATATTTGCACAAGCATTAGTACACAAGTTTAATTAAATCTTGCCCAAGTACTTTCGCTTCAATATAGCAACTTCAGGGGCATTTCGTCAAATTCAGCCAGCGTAGAATGTGATTAATATGAATGATAACATAAAATTGTACAAACACTACACTAAATCAAGGACAAACAGTTTAAAATAAGTTAAAATATTTCTACGCTCTACATTCTTTGGCGGTATCAGGAGAGAGAATGGTATCACCATTCTCTCTCCTGATACCGCTAAAGATCATGTACAATAAACATCAAAACAATAACAAAGAAACAAGTAAACAGTTAAATAAACTTGTTAAAACAAGTAAAATAATATATTCATATCACAAAAATTAAAAAAAAATAGTATCAGTATCAAATAGTAAGTATCACATATCTAGATTAATAGTTAGATTCTTAAGTTGCCTTTTGAAAGCATTAATGTTTGGGCAGAAAGGATCCGATAGGAAGTCATTGCAAGAGTTGAGCATTCTCGACAAGGGAAAATAACGAGCATAATCAGTCCTATGAAAAGGAATGTAAAAGAGTGCAGTGTACATGTTTAAGTGTACGTGTTTAAGTGTACATTGGCTAATAACGAGGGACAATTAATTACGTTATTTAAAATTTTACACAAAAATAACATATCAGTTAAAGATATGTTAGAGACATATCAAATAAAGATCTTAGAAACTTTCTCTGAACGCTCTCCAATCCATCAATGTATACTTAATAAAATGGGGACAGACAACAGAGCAGTATTCGAGACCTGAGCGTACCAGAGAGCAATACAATAATTTAAATACAATAAGTGAGAGATCATGACTGTTACGATAAATAAAACCAAGATTACGAAATCCTGTTTCCTTAATTTTAAGAAAATGGCTTCTAAAGGTGTATGCAAAATCCAATAAGAAACCCAAATCTCTAATCTTAGTAACTGAATCCAAAAGTACATCATTAAGAACATATCTATTAGCTATTAGATTATTTATACGACCAAATGAATTTTTTTTTGAACCTATTCTCTATCCTTCCATTGTTGGATATAGGTCTCCCCCAGTTCTCTCCATCTTTCCCTATCTTGAGCTGTTCTCTGCCATGTGGGACCTCCTTGTTTCCTGATGTCACATTTCCACCTCATCTGTGGTCTGCCTCTTGATCTCTTTCCATTGTATGAACGCCACTTTCCGATCGCATTGTTCCATCGTCTGTCTTGGAGACGTTCATTGTGTCCAGCCCATTTCCATTTCAGTTTTGCTGCTTGTTCTATCGCGTCTACTGTCTTTGTTCTGGTTCTGATCCACTGGTTACGTTTTCTATCTCTAAGTGATACACCCAACATTTGTCTCTCCATCGCTCTTTGTGCCTTCCTTATCCTATCCAAATTGGCCTGTGTAAATGTCCATATCTGTGCTCCGTAGGTGAACACCGGTATGATACAGGAGTTATATACCTTGCTTCGTAAGTATAGAGGGATTGTTTGATTTTTTATAACGTAAGAAAGTTTGTTGAACGCTGCCCATCCCATTCTTACTCGTCTCGATATTATCAAATGAAATACAAGAACATTTAGTTGGATTTAAGCTCAAACCATTTTGTTTTGACCATAAACATATGTTGTTTACATCATCTTGCAGGAGATCTCTATCCGATTTATTATGTATACAACAAGATATCTTAAGATCATCAGCAAATAGCAGGAAGTGTGAGTTTTTGATAGCCTTATCAATATCGTTAATGAACAAGTTAAAAAACAAGGGACATCAATGAGACCTTTGTGGTACAGCAGAATAACAATGAAATTCTTTTGAAATATGATTGTTAATACGAACTTCCTGTGTACATCCCATCAGAAAACTTTGAATCCAATTAATAATGTGGTCACCAAAGCCAGATGCATGAAGTTTGTGGACCAAAAGATTATGATTAACCTGGTCAAAGGCCTTTGAGAAATCAATGTAAACGCTGTCAACCTGAATTTTATTCTCAAATACACCCAACAAGTATTGTTAGTAATTGACAAGGTTTGTTACAGTTGATTTCCCGTTAGAAAAACCACTTTGTTCATCAATAATTATGTTTCTGCAAGCCCAGGTGAGATTTATCGATACCAATTTATCAAGAACTTTCGGGATTGCTGATTGAATAGTTATACCTCTATAATTGTTAACACACTCGCGATTGCCAGATTTATAGATAGGTGCAAGAAAACCATTTTTCAAACATTGTGGAAATACAGATGATGACAATGATAAATTGAAAATTTGTTGTAAAGGTTTACAAAGGGAAAAATACAGTTCTTAATAAGTGCTGCAGGTATACCATCAGGCCCTGAAGAATATGTAGTTTTTAAACTGCTAATCCTCTCGAAAACATCAGTCAGACTAAACTACAGAATCTGGAAATCCACACTATAGTCCAATATAAAAATTAGGTACATTATACTCACAATAATTATATGTACCTGAAAAATAACTGTCAAATAGATTGACTATTTCATTACCATTCTGAGCTATTACATACCCACCTTTATTAGACATTACATTAGGATAAGCACTAGACCTATGTGTAGTACTAACATACATACGTGTAGTACTAACATAAATATGTATTTATGCTTGATACTTTTAGTGCCGTATGCTTCTAGTCCATACAAAAGTAAAGTGATACAAAGTCTAGTCCATACAAAAATTGATTTTGTTTGAGTTTATTTTATGCCCGTTTTCTTTCCTACTTTGCAAAAATGATCAAGCAGAATTTGAAGGAGACCTTTAAAGTAGTTTTCCATTGATTTTTCTTTCATATGGATGTCCCTTGAGTGCATTTTTAGATGATTACCTGCTATGATTACGAATATGTATCGACGATGGCCTCAAGCTACCTGGTACCCAAAATGGACCTCGTCTCCTGGAGTATGTTAATTTCATTCTAAATCAGTAGACAGTCATTACTCAGTGTTTTTGAGGTCACGTAACACAAATATAATAACGACGATGATAGTCCTCGAGCTACCTGGTACCCAGGGTGGACTTCTTTTCCTGGAGTTATATGATATTTTTATACGAAATTAGTTGAAAGTCACTCGGTACTCGGTAGTTTTTGATGTCGTTGAATATATTATGACGACGATGGTTCTTGAACTACCTGTTAGACTTCTTTTCCTAAAGTTTTATGTTATTTTCATTCGAAATAAGCTAAAGTTATTACTTTGGGAATTTTAGGGTCATTGATTACGAATATTACGACGGCGATGATCTCCAAGGCATTTAGTTGCCAGATTGACCTCGTCTCCTGGAGTTTCATGTTAATAAAAATCTTATTTAACAAATTAACAAACAAATTCAGTAATGACTTTTGATTAATTTCAAATAAAAATAAAATAAAACTCCAGGAGGTGAGGATTACACTGGGTTCCAGGTAGCTCAAGGACCATCGTCGGTATCAGATTCGTGTGTAGCGACCTCAAAATCCACCGAATAACAAAAATGAACTCAATCATGTCGATATTTTTTAGTTGCAAATTTTTAATTTTCTATGTACTTTGAAAATTTTTCTTCATTTTTCTTACACACAAAATGCAATGTCCGTTTTACCACATAAATTTTGTTTACAAACTTTCCTGACACTTTCCCAAATCGAATGCGAAACAGTTTCACAGTGATTCATCTTGCTGCGGAAAATTGGTAGGTTTAGTGCTTCGTTTTTTCGCCTAATATACGCAAATAACATCAAAAATGTTTTATCTAGTTTTAAATATATATTAAGAACTTTTTAACATCAAGTGTATTATTTATATTTATTCTATATATTTTGTTGTATCTCTATCATTTTAATATAGAGTAAACAAATTTTCTTTTAGTACATTCCATTAATGGCAGAAGGTTTCATATTATTCACTGAATCAAACGTTTGGTCACTGCAAGCAAACAGAACTATAAAAGGATGGGTTCATGGCGTCTTATTAACAGTCAGTGTTATATGTGCTTCCGTTGGTATAATTATAGAAATTAATGCAAAAAATCAAAGTTCCTCCCCGCATTTTCACACACTGCATGCTAAATTAGGTAAGAAGCAATTTTTTTTATTATTATAACTTTTTATAACGTGTTAGTTTTTTCTTTTTATCCTGATTTTATCAATATTAGGAATATGGATACGTTTTAATATGGGTCTTGGAAAAATTGTTAAAAAATTAAAACACTTTTATTTGGGTTTGTTTTGGTCTCCGTGTATTATTGGAGACCAAAACCTAGAAGATAAGCAAGACTTGCAGACAGTGGACACTCCCGACCGAAGTACAACTTCAATAGTTTTATAAATGATAGTACTGAACAGCTATACCAACGACGACTGGATGAAAAACTACGAGAAATAGAGAGACAAACATTTTCAGATATTTACGAGAATATTATTGCTAGTTTACACTAGGCCTCTAAGGAGACACTCGGGACACAGCAAAACAAAATTAGTAACAAAATATGGTGGAACAAAGAAATCGAATATATGGTAAAACAGAAAAAGAACAGCATCTAAAATGGCTAAATACAAAAAATACAGAAGACCATCAAGCTTACAAAGAAACCGATAGACAACTACGAAAAATGATAAAACAAGAAAAGAATAAAACATGGGATCAGAAATGTCAAGAAATCAATATATACATCGAAGGGAAGCAATGTACAGAGGTATGGAATTTTATACAATCAGTAAAAAATACAGGAAAAAACAAAGCACACATACACACCATAAAACCAAGACAATGGAAAGATCACTATGAAAGCTTGCTGACAGAGACAAGACAAGAATACCTAGCGAACTCCCCAACACAGTCAGTACATATACAAGGAGAGGAAGCGAGGGTAGACATCGAAACAGTAAGGAAGGCTGTAATGACCCTAAAGAATGGTAAATCCGCTGGACCTGAGGGAATCTATGCTGAAATGCTTAAGAATGGAACTCATAAACTATTTGAAAACTTAACTTATGTGATCAATCAGTGTCTAAATGGACACCCAGTACCAGAACAATGGAGAACGGCATACATGTCCTCAATACACAAAAAGGGGACAAAAGGAATTGTAATAATTATAGAGGCATATCGGTAACCAGCACCCTGAGCAGACTGTATGGACGAATTTTGAGAAATATGATCGAGGAAGAATTTAAGCACAATGAAGAGGAAGAACAAAGCGGGTTCCGTGCAGGAAGATCGTGCACCGATAACGTATTTTGTCTTAAACAAATAATAGAAAAAGATCGCTAAGAATCTAGAAACTCATATTACTTTTGTAGACCTTCAAAAAGCATATGACAACATCCCCTTAACAAAATTGTGGACAACGTTGAAAAGATCTAACATCAACCACACATTGATAAATGCTGTACAAGAACTATATAGAGACTCAAAGTCACAGATAAAAACAGGAAAATATCTAACGGAAGAATTCCTGGTTACAAAAGGCTTGCGACAGGGATGCTGTATCTCACCAACCTTATTCAAGATATATGTTGCAGCAGCATTGAAAAGATGGAAAAGAAAGGTGCATAGGATGGGTATAGAGCTTAGCAATGAATGTATATATACACTCCAGTTTGCTGATGACCAGGTAGTACTAGCGACTGACAGAGAAGACATGCAGTACATGCTTAGAAAACTGATAGAAGAATATAACGACTGGGGAATGAATGTCAATACAACAAAAACCAAATATCTTTGTATTGGAAACGAGTCAGATAACATAGACCTCGAAAACGGACAACATATTTCCTGCTGTCAGAGCTATGACTACTTGGAGTGTTGCCTTTGACAATACAGGAACTGATACACGGGAAATAGAAAAACGAATCACACAAGCAAAGAAAGCTTAGAGTCAATGTATATGGAGTAGAGATAACGAAGGAGAAATTAATATATGAGACCATGATTAAAACTACTCTTCTTTATGGCGCTGAAACATGGAGAATTAGTGAAAAGAACAAAAAGCGAATAGAAACAGTAGAGATGGATGCAATGAGAAGATCTTTAGGTATTTCCAGACGAGACCGAATCAGAAATGATGTAATAAAACAACGTATGAGAATAGAAGGAAATATAACTCAAGATATAGAGAAGAAACAATTAAGGTGGTATGGGCATGTTCAACGGATGCCAGCAACAAGACTCCCAAAAAAAGTATTAGAATGGCAACCGATAGGTCGACGGAAAAGAGTAAGACCCAGATTAGAATGGCAACACGGCGTAAACAGGTCCATGAGCGAAAGAAATTTAACAACAAACGACTGCGAAGATAGGAAGAAATGGGGTTTAGGTATCGGACAACGTCGAAAGACGTTCTAAACCGATGTATATATATATATATATATATATATATATATAATATATATATATATATATATTTCGGTTTGTCTAGAAACACACTTGTAATTGATTCTTACTATATTTTTAGGTCTTGCTTCATGGATTATGGGTTTTTCATTAGTCCTTAGTGGCTTGTTGACAGTATATGCTGCCAAATTAAGAAATTATGTTAAACCCTTATACATAAAATTATTCCACGAGATTGTGGGACTAGCATGCTTTGGTACCGGAGTCTATTCTTTATATCTAGGCCTTCCCAAATGGGGATTTGCCAGCTATGTGACAGCATCCGAATTAACCGCAACCAAAACATTAGTGATCATCGTAGCAGTTTGGAGTGTTCTTGGATCGTGTGTGTCTATCTTTAATAATATTAAAAATGTATTCACGTAATAATGTTTTACTAGTAAGTAATATATATATATATATATATATATATATATATATATATATATATATATATATATATTTTTATAACATTTTAGTCTGTAACAAAATATTTTGTAATTAGGTATTTATAATTATTGTAGTTAATGAATTGTGTACAAATCGTTGAATCTGAACTTAATTATGTAATATTGTAAAATAAATTCTAAATTTATTTTAATTTTAACAAAGACTATCGAAAAATATGAAATATTAGATTAATAAAATTCACAACAGAACAAATTTTTATAGATAACTTTAATGAAAGATAAAGTTAAATTGCAAATATTTATAAAAATATAATAAAAAACTAATTAAAAATCTTAACACGTCTTGCTGCCGATATTAACGAGGTTTAAGCAAGCATTGTTAGAAAGTTTAGTATGTACAATCACAGGAAGGAGTATATATTGTTGAAAGCGTTGCTTATAGTGTATTTTAAAAATAATGTAGAGTAAATTTTCAGAAAACTAATCTTTGAGACTTAATTCATTAAGTATATGAGGAAAACGTTGAAAGAATATAGTTTATAAGTGTGTAATAAATGTTTTGTTGCATGTATTTACAAAAGGTTAAATTTGATCTGTGTGCAATCAATTATATTTTGTAGTTCTTATGCGTTGCTTGATATTAGGATAGTATTATCATCGTACCTGATGTTGTCTATGCTGGTTCCGTTATTCTTGATTCCACCTTGAACCTCCTCTAATGCTTTTTTGAATATAGATTCCGAATCCCGAATAAATATTATTGGCGATAAGACGTAACCTTGTCGCACTTCTCGTCGAATTCGTATATCTTCAGATATTGTGCCTAAATTATTGCCGATTGGTGCCAATATAGTTCTGAGATAATTCACCACTCTTCTTCCTCAATTCCAGTTGTTCTCTGAATTTCGTCTTTTGATGGTTAACGCAGTCAAATGCTTTTCGATAATCAATAAAACATGCATATACATCTATATTCATGTCTCTGTATCGTTGTGTTAATACATGTAAGGCAAAAAAAGCTTCTCGTGTTCCCAATCCATTTCGAAATCCGAATTGAGTGTCACCATCTGAAATTCACACTTTTTGTAAATTCGTGTAAGAATGATTTTAAGAAAAGTTTTAAAGACATGAGACATCATGCTTAATATTCGACAGTCATCGCAGTTTTGGTAATGTTACGAATGTTGATTTTAGCCAGTCTGATAGTATATTCCTGTGTCATATATCTTATTGAATAGTGTGTTATTTAGTCGAGGCTTTTACTTTCGTTGTCTGCAATTATTTTAAGTATTTCGACATTGATATTGTCTGGACCCGTGGCTTCTTTGTTATTCTGAGCTTTTACTGCATAAATAACTTCTTCTTTTGTTACTTTTCGACCTTTTTCATTTATTAGATCATTCGTGGATGGAGGAGAACAAGGTCTATCATCGTCAAAAGTGTCTGAATTTATACTTCCCATCTCTCAAGTTTGTCTTCTGTTTCTATAATTATCTCGTTAATATTATTCCTTAATATTGTTTCTTGTCTCTTTCTCTGTCTACCTGTCATTTATTTCATTATTTTTATAGACATTAAAGGTGTCATATCTTTTCTGAAGTTGTTTAATTTCTAACGATTTGGTTTATATGTAGTTTTCTTTAAATTCTCTGTACTTTTCTCTAATGATTTTATTGACTCGTTACCTTCTTCTCCAAACACGATTTTCACAGATGCCACCGAATATTCTTCTCAAGATCGTTTTTAATCTGCCTTGTAAATGGTCTATGTCTCCGATCCATATGTCAACACTGTTTATAGAAGGGTTTTGTATATGGTTATTTTTGTTTCTTGGCTTAAGTTTCTGCTTTTTATATGTCTACTCAATCCAAAATAGCATTTGTTTGCTGGGATTATTCTTCGCTTGATTTCTTTCGTCATGACGTTCTCCTTGGTGATCAGGGAGATCAAGTATGTGAATTTGTCCACCACTTCAAAGGTAGAGTTATCAACAGTGAATTGGTGGCCGATGTTTCTGTCTCTATTGTTGGGTGTTGATGCCATTATCTTAGTCTTTTCTTCATTTACTTGCAGGCCCATATTTTTTGAGGCATTTGACAAGGTAGTACACATCTCTTCTAGCTTGCGTGTTGTGCGGGCAACTAGGTCAACATCATGTGCGTATGCCAAAATTTGGGATGATTTATTAAAAATGTTTCCTCTGTTGTCTATTTGAGCATTCCTTACCACCTTTTCCAGAGCTATGTTGAAAAGGAGACACGCCAGCGCATCTCCCTGTCGCAGCCCAACATGCGTTTCAACTGCCTGTGATTGTTCGATCTGTATTTCGACTTTGCAAACAACTTAACGCATTGTAGCCTTAACCAATCTTATCAGTTTATCGGGGATGTGGAATTCATCCATGGCTACATACAATTTATTTCTTTGGACACTATCATTTTTCTTCTTCTTTAGGTACCATCTCCTCTAAGGAGGTTGGTAATCATCACAGCTATTTTCACTTTTGAGATTGCAGCTCTGAACAAGTCGACGGAACTGCAATTATACCACTTTCTCTCAAATTGTTGAGCCACGAGATGCGTCTTCTTCCAATACTTCGTTTTCCCTGTATTTTTTACTGCATTATGGTTTGTAGCAACACATATTTATCCCCCATCATAACGTGGCCGAGATATGTAACTTTTTTATCTTAATCGTATTCATGATTTCCATTTCCTTAGTCATCTTTCTGAGAACTTTAACATTTGTTATTCGGTCTAACCAACTTATTTTTAATATTCTTCGGTAGGTCCACATCTCGAATGCCTCAAGTCGATCGCTCACCTCTTTCTTTAAGGTCCAGGCCTCCACCCCATACAGCAGCACCGAAAGCACATAAGAACGTATATCATATATATATATATATATATATATATATATATATATATATATATATATATATATATAGGACACTATCATAGGCCGATTTAAAATCTACGAAAAAATGGTATGTGTCGATATTGAATTCATTGGTTTTTTTCAGTATTTGCTTTAGCACAAAGATCTGGTCTATTGTTGATCGACCAGGAGTAAAACCATTTGATATTCGCCAAGAAGCTCCTCTGAATATGCACTCAGGCGACTATATAAAATACTCGAAAATATTTTTTATGATGTATTAAGGAGGGTTAACAAACCCTCCTTAATAACCCTCCTTTAACTATTAACTTTGTTAATATTTAATTAAGACGATTGTAATATATCTGAAAATTTTAAAACATAAAATACATTTTAAGCAAGGAAAACCCTTTTTTCCAGAAGTATAACGTAGACCCTTTACACACTTAAGAGATAAAGATAATTTGGGAAAAATTATTTTCTTTATCTTACTTACCTGGATATTATTAATTCCTAATATGGTTTCGCCTTTACAGAACGATTGGTTCAAAACTTATTTTTAAATTGTAATATCAATCACTAAGTCATTATTTGTGTGATTAGATTCTCTTATATTATCACTGGTATACTTGTTATAATCGATATATCTTCTATTATATAAAAATTACTATTGTGTAGTTAGATCTCGTAATATTAGCTTCATATTTCTAGCATGCATTGTCGTAAGCATTAAGTATTTAACCAAATGTAAATATATAATTTATTTTCCTATGAGTTAATTTTTTTCCGATATTTTTTTAAAAACGGCATAATAAACACAACAATGTTTTAAGTTTTTTCTTAAAGAACTGGTTAGATATCACTAGTATAAGACATAAGAAATAAAAAAATTTAAAAATAGTTTTATGCTTTAGTGAAATAGCACATCTTAGATCTATTCTGTACCGAAAGTTCGAGAATACTACAAAAATCCATAAGTAACCGAATGGCTGGAAAAGATAACAATCAAAGATCTGATTGCTAACAAAGGCAATATAGTTTTGCTTTTGATTTTAAAAATCACAATGTCATACTAAAAGGAGTAAACAGCAAACCGAACAAGTTGTCCATAATAAATGTCTATGCACCCTCACAAAACAGTGATAACTTGACAAAACAGCAGTTCTATGAAACACTAGAAGAAAACGCTGAGAAAATCCCGGGAGAAGATATATTAATCCTTATAGGAGATTTTAACGCCCAAATAGGCAAAGAAAATTACTTCAGAGAGGTTGCAGGGACAAATTAAATACATAACACAATAAACAATAATGGAGAACGATAATTATTAATTTAGCAGCGGCAATAAACATGGACATAAGTAGCACGAGATATAAACACAAAGACATACATAAAATAACATCGATGAGACCAGAAGTCTGAAGGGAAATTAAATAGACCACGTATTGATTAAAAAGACACACAAATAATCGATAAATGACGTTAGATTTTACAAAGGAGCCATCGATTCTAACCATATGCTATTGATTACAAAATGTAAAAGAAAAAGAACGATGAATGAAAGTCGAAAAGCAAAGAGAAAATGGGATGTAGATAAATTGAAAGAGAAAGAAGTAAGAAGAAGATTTGTACAAGAAGTAAATACAGAGATGCAGTTCAAAGAACAGCAAATAGAGGAACAGTAGAAAGAAATCAAATAAGGAATAAACAATGCAACATAGAAAGTGGTTGACAAAACTCAAAATAAAAGAAGAAATATTTGGTTTCACGATGAGTGCAAATTGGCAGTGGACAAAAATAATCAAACAAGATTTAAATGTTTAAGCACAACCAAAGAAGAGGAACGAGAAAAATACAAATATCAAAGCCAAAAGACAAACAAATGATTTAAATCGAAAAAAATTAAAAAGTAGAAGAAATTATGAACAAGATAGAAACAGAAAATAAAAGACACAACTCAAAACCATTGTATCAATACTTAGAACTAGGTAACCGAAAACGGAGAGCTAATCTAGCTATAGAAGCAGAAAAATGGCAGAAGTATTTCGAAGAAATATATCAAGAAACGAATAGAAAAAAGGAAGAGAAACAATAAGAAACACAGAACAAGAGAAGAAAGAAGAAGAAATAACTTATTCAGAAGTGAAAAAGAAAATATGCTAATTTAAAAACCTTAAAAACTGAAAAATAGTGGGAGAACAGGGAATAGATAGATAGATAGATAGAACGTTTATTGACCACTTTACATAAAGTTTGAAGTCCGTAAAAAAAATACAATAACAGATATAATAATGTAAACTTAAAATTAACTTAATCATATTGGCTAAAGTAATATACATATGTAAGTATTAGCAGAAGAATTAAAATTAAACAAACCTAAACTGTCACATAAAAAATCTTTGAAATATGGAAGTAACAAAAATGTACAAATAATTAAGAATATTCCCGAATCGATGACTAAATAAACTAATACATAAAACTTAGTACATTTTAATAGCAATAATACAATGTGATATGTAGATAGTAAATCGACAGTATTCTGACCAAACTGGGTATACGTTATAAAGGTGTATTGAGGTGTTCTGTCTTTGAGTAAAAACAATATGTTAAAAAAATGCTTTCTGATCCTATTTTTAAACAGTGGTGGAGACAGAATTTTTATTTCGTTAGGCAGATAGTTATACAAGTGAATATCAATTGAATTCTTGTGCTCTTTGATAGTCTGAATGAATATGTGCAGAACTTATAAAATACGATGGAGAGGCACCGCACAGACAGATTTATGATCTAATACAGAATATATTAAGCCCAACAAACCCAAAACAAGGAGACCATAGAATATGCATAAACTACTGAGTAATTAATTTACTGAATGTAACATATAAAGTAATTACTGGTATAATTAGAGACAGACTAAGAATATGTACAGAACAAAGCATGGGGAATTACCAGTACAATTTTAGAATAGGAAGATCCACGATAGCCGCTAAAGCTAGGCTTTACCAAGGTTCGATAGATTGTCAATTTCGTTTCTTGTCTAATATCTTAAGACCATAGTAGAGAGTTTAAAAGGTTTACCGCTTTTTTTACCTCCTGTGTTCTGTTTTCGATGTCTCTTTTGGTAGTGCCTTCTTTAGATATTATAGATCCGAAATATTTATATTCATTGCATGTTTTTGTGTTTCTAATTTCTAACCCTTCTTCATCATCTCCTATTTTAAGATACTCTTTCTATTCATTCTTTAGTTTTCTAAACATGTAATCCATGTCTTCCTCATCATTCTACTACCTGATCATCTGCGAAAAATAAAGTTGTTAGACATTTACCACCGCCTATGTCTATTCCCATTCCAGATACTTGTTTCCTCCACTGCTCTAGCGATGATTGAATATATATTTTAAATAAGGTTGAAGATTGAAAACGTCCTTGTTTAAGCCCCTTTGTTATTGGAAATAATTCAGATACAAAGTTTCCTTCTTTAACTACACTTCTTGCATTTTTGTATATATTTGCGATAGCATCCACATACTCTCTACTGAGACCTACTTTCGTCAATGTTTGAAACAGTTTTTTCGAAGGTACCGTATCGTATGCATTCTCTTAATTTACAAACAATAGGTTGGTAGATAGGTTCCTTGCCTTTTGTTTTTCGATTACCTGCTGCAGAACGAATATACCATCAGTGCACGATCTTCCTGCACGAAATCCATTTTGTTCTCCCATGTCTTCGTATTCTGATTATATTCTTTCTTTATTATTCGACCGTACAACCTCCCCACTGAGCTGAAAACAGCTAATTCATTATAATTAGAGCATTTGCGTTTATCCCTTTTCTTGAATATTGAGCTGATGTATCCAACATTCCAATTATTAAGAAAACCTTTTAAAAAATTGAAAACGAGGCCAAACTGGGAAGATTGCAAATAAGTGAAAATAAAACAAAAATACATCAACGTAAGCAAGAAAAAGAAGACATAAATGACAGAACTGACAATAGATGCACATAGTTTCGAAGAGGTTGAAACATTGAAATATTTAGGAGTACTAGTCAACAGAAGAAATGAAAGTGTAGATATAAAAAGAAGAATTCAAGCGGGAAATACAGCGTTTCATAGAAATTTAAAAAATTTTTAGAGATAAGAAAAGAGCCGAAACACATAAATAAAAACCTAAAAAATGAAAGAAGAAGAGTAATTAAAAGCTTTTGAGAGGAAATTATAAAAAATACTGGGACCAAAGAGGGAAAATGAAGAGGATGCAAAACAATGGATAAATCACGAAATACAAGAATGGATGAGTCAAGAGAACATAGTTAAAGCAATAAAATCACAAAGAATTAGATGGTATGGACACATATGAGAAGAGAGAAGAGCAATCTGTTAAGAGTTATAACGAAATGAACACCTGAGATAGAGGCAACAAGTAGAAGAAGACTTAAGGAGTATGGAAATTAGAAATATAGACAGGGCAATCAAAGAGAAAGAAGAATATAGAAAAGTAGTGGAAACAGCAAGCTCACACCATAATCTGTAGAATCAAACCCAGAATAGGAAGATCCCCCACACAACAAGGATCTTCAAGAGAAAACAGCTTCAGTTTCTTCGGGACCGTGTAGCTTGTATATATATAATGTACTGAAAACCGAGGATTACATTAGAATTAACAACTGGACACGAACACCTTAACTTCTCTTAAAAGTTAAATCAAGCAAAATTTACGACAGACAGAGATAAGTACTACTTTACTACCATAAGTGTAGCTAAGGCTTACCTAAAATTTACAAGGAACACTTTGTCTTAATATTAATCAATTTATATATCACCAATGCTTGCCATATCTACAATTCTTCAAACTTTGATATAAAAAACATAGCTTACACTTTAGACGTAAAGTTATTGTGTTGGTTTTGTTAATGAAGGACACTTCAGAACACTTCACACAATCAGAAATGATGGAGATGAGTAAGACAATTTCTTTTACATTATAATTATGTATTATAGAAATTATGGCAACAAAAACAGTTCTTAAGTCTTTCAATCGAGCAATTTAATATAAATCTTGGTATAGAGAATACTATTAGTCAATACATAAGAACCGTTACTTAAGCAATAATTTTATCCACGATAGCAGATGAAAAAAGGAAGTAACAAAAAACTCGTGCGACCTTGATTTATGAACCTAATTATTAAAGATTTAAAACATGTGGAGAAAGTGTTGGAAAAAACGTATATGCAATAAAGGTAATTCCTGATAGTTTTTGGTTTAGTGTATCTACCTACATTGAAACTACAAATTTGTTATAACAGAGAGGAAAAAATACCCAACTAAATTGATCAGATTAAGAAATCAAAAATTGTTTGTCAGACTAATTGATATTTTACATGAGACAAAACACAATCAATAGAAAACGAAACTAAAATGGATTGTATACAACGCACCCATTCTCACCTAACTATCCGCAGTAGACCAAACGTTAGAAAGAAATAATTCCAGTTCAGAGCATATAAGGACGCAAACAAGACTCCCAGACTGTCTGCACTGAAATTTATTTTCATTTTACTTAAAGCAAATAAAACTTTACATTGCTATTTATAATCTGACCGTTAAATTGGTTGCCTAATGAGATTAAAATTGATTTTTTTTAATATCTCCGAGATAGCTTCAAAATGAACACATATGTTAGGCAA